CAGAAGACATAAGAGAGTGGCTTCAGTAGGTGGCTTCATCATTTCCTGCTAAGATTATTTGCTAACCTGAAACTGAAATTCTGTCGTGTGGTTTTAAACACTTCTACCTTCCCCCAGTGGAATGGTCTTCTGAGGAAGTAACTCTGTCAACCCCTGTTTCTGTAAGTGTTGAAAGGTCACCGCATGTGTGGGTACATTCAAGTTGCCTGTCCACTTATGACAGCCCCATGAATTTCATAGGATTTTCTTAGGCAAGGAATCCTCAGAGGTTGGTTTTTTCCATTGAAAGTACTCCCATTGAAGTACTGACCAGGACTGACCCTGCTTAGCTTGGCTGCAGTTCTAGAAAGCCGTTGACATCTCTTGTCTTGATCAATTCAGAGTCTACCTTTTCATCTCTGATAGGCTAGTGCCTATCAATATGCCAACAAATATAGACAGCAAAACGCTGGCCAACAGACTGGAAATGCTTGATAGACATTTTCATTCACAAAAAAGAGGCACAAAAAAGAGGCACAAAAGACTGCAGGCACTATAGGACCATAGCATTAATTTCTCAAGCAAGCAAAATTATGTTTAAAATTCTGCAACATAAACTCCAATCACATATGGAGAGAAAAATCCCAAAATGTGTCAAGCCCTGCCGGTGCTGATCTCAGATTGGTCATCTGCACCCCTGCTTTCCTCTTTTTGTGAGAATTTGCCACTGCCAATATCCTCTTTAGCAACTGGCAATGTTTATTTGCTGTCTCCTGAACTTCACACCTTCAGGAACAGTGTTTCCTTCCTGTGACAACTTTATCTTCCGTGTAATGGGAGACTGCGACATAAATAACACTTCTGTCCATTTGGGAGTCTGTGCAGAATGGCTTATCTTGATCCACAACTGCTATCCTCTTTGGGCCAGAGTTTTGGTTTCATTTAGATCAAGGTGGACAGATTCTAGCCTTTAGCAAGATGGACTAGCGCTAAGGAAAACTTCAATCCTGCAATATGTGGAATCACAGAGTTGGAAGACCACAAGGGTCACATATTGCCTTCCCATGATTTAAAGATAAAGAAGGATGACCAGATATCTTAGAAAGAAAAAGAAAAGAATGACCACACTTCTTCGCTAACGTTTATTATGTTTTGAACAATCACTTTGCCCACTTTGTGGTCTTGGAGCTTTGGTGTTCACACTCACCCTTTTATTATTATTTTTGGAGCTTGGAAACTTAATTTCGGACTCACTTATTGCTTGCCATTTGAGAGTAGCTGAACTAAAGCTACTCACACTACACAGACATTTATATGAGTTGAACCGTAGTTGCACAGCATCCTTTACACAATCCATAGACCAGAGGTTGCTTGAGTTTTCAGTATTAGTTTTCAGGAGGTTGCTTGAGTTTACAGCAGAAAAATCTACAAATGTTTGAGTAGCTTTTGGCCTGTCTTTAGACAGGATGGGCTCTGCCATTAGGCCGAGTGAGGCAGCTGCCTCAGGCTGCAGGTTTTGGCTGTTGTGAAAGGGCAGCAAAGTGTTCATTTATTATGATTATATTTTTATGGACAAGAAAAGGAGGGAGGTATTTGTCAGATTTTCTGCCTCAGGTACTGACATAATTTTGCTAGCCTAGGGAATATGCACCTTGACTCTGTCTCTGTGTGTGTGTGTGTGTGTGTGTGTGTGTGTAGCATCTCCTGCTCTGTCTCAAGCAGTGACAAGTTTTGAACTGGTCCTCCCCTTGAAAGAGTTGATAGTTCTGTTTAGAAATATAAAATCCAACCAGAAAGTGGAAATATAGGCACCACCTCATCAACCAAACAAGTCTAAGGGATTTGTCCCACACAAAGGCAACCTGTGACACAATTTTAGCAAGTTTCTCAAAACTGGTTCAGGTCATCTGTGTGTGTGTGTGTGTGTGTGTGTGTGTTGCTAGTAACTTGTGATGAATTTCTCCATGCCACCCATTGTTTCCATACCTCATTTTTTTAACAAGCAGTTAATTATGATACTAACAATTTCAATTCTGCAAAGAAATAGTTGTGAAATAGGCATATGATGCTAGTGGCTAAGGCTACTCTTAAAGTCTAACAAACCATGAAAACTTGCCAATGGCTATTTTTATAGCTGGCTTTTTTATTATTATTATTAACCTAAAGGGCAATTACCACATGAAAACGGGGAGGTTGATTTTCTAAGTATCCTGTTTTAGGAGGGAAGGGCTAAATCCTTACCCTCCACACTACAATCCTAATCTAACTCCCATCCATTAATACTGTGTGTGTGTTGTTCGCTTTCAAGTTGTTTCTAGCTTATGGCAAACCTAATGTGAACCTATCACAGGGTTTTCTTGGCAAGTTTTTCCAGAGAGGGTTTGCGATTGCCATTGCAATCTCGGAGGCTGAGAGTGTGTGATTTGCCCAAGGTCACCCAGTGGGTTATCATGGCCGAGTGGGGATTTGAACCCTGCTTTCTAGAGTCATAGTCCAATGCTCAAATCACTACACCACACTGCTTTATTGAGCTTTTTTTTTTAAAATTGAGCTTTAAAACCACTTGCTAGTGACACATCTAGCTAGTCCCTAAGTTGTGTCCACTACTCTTTCTGTTCTGCAGCTGCCCTTATTTCCAGCATTATTTCTTTAGACTATTTATGTAGAAATTATTGTCTAGACAATTCTGAGGCTTCTCAAAGGTTTAACAACAATTATGCAATGGAAATTTTGGTTAACTACAGACAAATTCCCTAAAATGTAACTTGTTTCTTCGCTACAGACCTTCCTTTGCAATGCTGAGATGCCAGAAATTTCTCTGAAGAGATGTTTCAGCTCACTGACAATTCTGGTCAGACCTAACAAACTTGGGAAAACCTGCCATGTGCTCTAATAATACATTTCCTGCCAGTATCCTCCCAAATTGACTGTTAAAAGAACCCCATTGTGTTGCAATATGGAGTGTATTTACAGAAGGCTGAAATTTTGCAGTGCAAGCTCCCTGGCTTGTGTTGTGCCAAATGTGCTGATTGTACGTAAACACACACTATCGTTTATAGAATAAAACCGAGCACTGTCATGTACGAACATAGCACACGTGTGTGTATACATAACACACCTAGAACACTTGCTGTGTAAACAGTGAAGTGTAACAGGGAGACACAGGCAATCCAAAAAAGTAACTTTCCCAGGCTCTGGTGTACTCTCTGTATCTGCCACTTGAGGCTGTAGAGTCCATCGATCTGATGGAGCCAGCTGTAGTCTGCAAAAGCTTATGCCAAATCAAATTTGTTAGTGTGGAGGATGCCACTGGATTCTTTGCTATTTGTTGCAATAAACTAAAAGTGCAATTGTAATTCACTAAGAGGGCTGAGGACCAGCTTAACTTGAATCCAAACCCCTTTCAGCCTAGAAAACAATTACTTAGGACGTTATCACACGGGGGCAAATCTGCTGGTTAATCCACA